GCCACTTTCTGAAGTGGTTCTGAAAGTACTCTTTTGTGAGTGTCTTGAGTTTTGCTATCCTGGCTGCCTTGATGTTCTGAATTGATTAATGTTTACCTTTTGTGCCATCTTGACTTTGTGGAAGGGCTAGTTGTCTCACAGTACCAGATCCTTTAAATAAGGTGGATGAGGACACACTGTCATGTTTTTATAAGGCTGACTTTTTGTTGGATGGCACTAGGCAGCAGCATAATGCCCATGTTTTGACCATGCTTTCTAAAGATTCTCACAAAAGAGGACTTCCAAAATTTCTTCAGAAAGTGGTAAGAACAATGGAATAAATGTGAGGGGGAGTATTTTGAGGGGAATGAATGGCAGTATGTCTTTTACTGGGACAATTTAAACATTCAGTGTTTATTTTGAGTACCCCTTGTACATCAAGTGTTGGATCGCATATCTGCTGATACCAGGTGTGTGTGTGTGTGTGTGTGTGTGTGTGTGTGCCACACACCTGGGAACAGGTCCTTGCTCACAGATGAATTGAAGAGATCTACCTTGATCTTTATTCAGGAGTCCCAAAATGTTGATCTTGACTGACTGGTCAGTCTCAGTTCACTTCCTGGGTAATCTCCACACTGCCAACTTGGTATGATTGTCTGTCCAAAGTGAGAGCAGTCAACAATACCCAGCTTTCCCTCAAAATATAAGGAAAAAACAGATTTGTTGAACTTCTCTTCTCAATTTGGACTGCCAAACACCCTTGATAGATTTACGTACATAGGCTCCTATGGTCAGCTTCCTGAACTTGTCCACATCCCTTGATTCAAAAGAAAGAACTTTGGAATTTCCTGGTTCTGCCGTTTTCCCCACAGTGACACTGAGTTTACATGGAAGAGTTGAAGCTTCCAGCGTGCTCACAGAATTGCAGAAATTTAATTAACTCAGCACCCATTACATTTCCATGGTTTCTTTCCCTTCCTTACCTATCTCCAAGAAGAGAGCCAGCAGACTCTTGTGGAGATGCTTCCTAGATGACTCAGTGATGAAGTGGGAAATGGTGGGATTTGTTCATTTTATTGTCCACATCTCAGGAGGTGGTTGTGGGGCTAAGAACAGCATTCCCACCAGTGTGAACTGTTAAATCTTAGGCAGGAACTCCTTATTTGGTTCAGCAGGGGCCTTGTACTACATTCCAGCAACTCCTTAAAGGCCTCGCTTCTTTATTATACACATTTATTCTACAACATTGCCTATTTTGATCCCAGGAAATATACCAAGCAGCCAAATGGAAGCAAGAAGTGTTCCAAGAGGAAGTTTATTATAAGAAAATCCATGTAAAGATTGAAGAAAGAGTACAAACTCTTAAAAGGTTTGCAGGAAGACATTTGTGCGGTAGAATATTCCTGAACCAATGCGGACCACCTGCTTCCTCCAGCTCTTGCGGTCTTCAGTCTAAAATGGGAAATCACTTCTTAAGCAGAATAATGGATGGGAATTATTCACACTAGTGTGTGACCTTTATCACCACTTTCTTGCCACCCCGGTTAATGAGTACCGTCTCTAGCATAGTGACCTCCATGGTACATTCTTCGACGGTCAGTGTCCTTCATATATAGCCAGCAGGCCTGGCCTGACCTCAACATTTAGTAAGATTTTTCTTCAAACTCTTCTTCATTTGTTCCTTTTGTACATAAACGTTTGTCCTGTCATAGTTAAGGACTGATTCAAAAGCTTTTATCTGTGTGTGGGAGAGTGGGAGGAGTTAACAATTATAATCTTAAAATATAGCAAAGAATGCTTATGCCAGTCCCAAACTATCAGCCAAGAGACAGTGTGGGACCAGCCTCTGGACAACTTTGTTGAGTGATGTTTCCGGGTTGGGTTTGTGATGGTAGATAAGGAATCTCATTAACTCATCTAGCCCACCAAACGTATTTTACCTCCCTATGATGTGCTTGGCTCTGTGAACTTAAATATAGCATTTTTATTTTGGAGATGTTCTTCTTCTAAGATTTGTAACCACAGCCAATTGTCTCTGTATTTGTAGTTTCCTAATGTACTCTTCTCTTGGCAAAACTACCCTGAAATTTCCTGAGCCATTGACTCATCTCTTGTTCTATCGCCGTTAGTTTGAATCAAATACATCAAGCCACTCATCTTGGATCATTATGTTTGTTACAACTTCTGCCAAAACTCACTTCTGTAAGCCCTGTGGAACCTGTGAGGCTGCTCACAGACAATTCTCACACCTCATTTTAGCCAGCGTCCTTGATTTTCTTTCAGTGACCTCAAATCAGCTTGGGTTTCCCTAGGTTTTTGCCTTTCCTGGTTCATTTTACAGCAGAAGTGCCAGAGACCAAGCATCAGATGATAGGAAAATGGAGGTGGAGACCTGATCCAGTCTCTGGGCCTCTGACTAATGAGCAAGGCAGAAGAGCTTACACATTCCTGTTCGGGTTTTTAACTGTGTGGTAGTCAGATGCAGTTCCCAGGTAAATTGGCTGCAAACAGTTGGAGCAATAGGGAAAGTGCTTAATTTATAAACAGGTTGGTTTGTAAAGGTTTGCGTGTGTGTGTGTGTGTGTGTGTGTGTGTGTGTGTGGCAGTTCTTTATAACATGACTCTCTCTTGCACAAGAAATGATATTAGAGACGGTCAATAGAGCCAGAGAAAAGACATTTTATTGGTTTTTCACTGCATTCTGGGCAGTCTGCTGGGTACTTTATACCCAATAACTTAGTTAATCCTCCATCTACCCTGCCAGATGATTGTTATTATTATTGTTGCTCTTCTTGTTATTTTCAACTTCCGAGTAAGGAAACAAGGTCAGGAAGTAAAATAAGCTGTCCAAGGTCCCATTGCTGGGAAGAGGCAGTGTCACCTACAGGCGCACATTTCGCAGCTGACATTGTACTGGGTGTTCTCCTGGGTGGGAGTCCTGTGACACTTCTGCATAGTAAAGCATGGAGTCTGAGGATCTCCCTTCTTTCTTCAACCCTGACTTCTGCTTCCCGAGACTGCCAGCAGCAGGTGGTTTCACAGAGACACAGATCTGGGATGTCCTGTGGTCTGGAGCTTCAGTCCCATCCCCTCCACCTGTCAGCTGAAGGTACTTGGGTGAGTTGCATCTACTATGGAAGTTGTCGTTTCCACAGTTGCAAAGTAGAGATAGTAGCACGTGCAGCTCTCTTGCATCAGATTGCCTTTTTGGAGTGTACCACGGGATATACACCACTGTCAGGACTGGAACATGGGACAGAACGCAGTCCCTCCTCACAAGAAGCTTATATTTTTACTGTCACAGAAACAAAAATGAAATCCAGAAACAGGTTAGTAGTGTGGGTTGAGTAGGAAAATACACAGAGAGCAGTTACAAAGTGCTTGGCGTGTGATAAAGACTCAATAACTGTGACTCCTTTTCCATCTGTGTAGCAGTTTGAAGTCAAGTGAACCAATGTATCCAGACTTCTAAGTAGGGTTTCTTTCCCTAAATGATTCTTCTGCTTCCAAGGCATGCTGATTTTTCTAAAAGCTCTGGCAGCTGCCAGAGCATGGAGTTTTCATGCTGTGGACCCAAGAAATGGAGCAAGGCTGCTTTTAATTGCTCTCTTGACTGCCTTCTGCTAGGGAGCTTTGGACTCTTTGAGGGCAGGGACCAACCTCTTATTCAGCTGTGTATTCCACGTTCCTGCACATAGTAAGTGCTCAATAAATATTTGTTTTTGAAAGAAAAGTGTTACTTAGTATATGGACTCGTGTATTGTATTACACGGGTTGGTTTTTATATTTACTCTGTTTTACTGAATGAATTACTGGCTTTTGGTGAGGCTGATGGGAGGCAGGCTAAGAAAGAGAGACACAAAAATTCACTTGTCTGAGCTTCTTCCTTTCTGAAGGAAAGGACAGCATCAATCTTCGGTGTCTCTTTAATTATTCTTGCAGACCTGCCAGGGACAACAACTTAATGTTGTCCTAAGCAGAACAACTTAATGGGCAGCAGAGAGGCCTGCCACGTCTTGGCCAGGGCCCCAGTGGTGGGGACTGTTGAGTAGGGAATGACAGTGCCCCTCCCGCCCCCTCTTCCCATCTGACAGGCAGGTGGGAAGCACCTTGTTCTCAGTGCTGGCATGAACCAGCATGTCTCTGGAGAAGGGTCATGCTGAAGACTGTGGGGGCACAGCGAGCTCTGGACACAGGCTGGGGTACATGCGCTCTGTTTGTTATACGGGACACCCCATGACCTTCCTCGCTCACTGTTACAGGAGCCCTGCTCCCCTCGGGCGAGCAGTGCCTCTAACTCCCTTCAGCTGGATCTTTTCCGAAGTGTTTTCTGGATGAGCAGGAGAAACACTTGACCCAAGATGGACGGAGTTCAGGTAGATGGCCTGCATTCTGTCCAACTTTCGTGTTTCTGATAACTATTTTAACAACAAACCAGTGGCTGTTTGTTATCTTTAAACCATCCTCAAGGACAACCCACATGCACAAACCCGTATGTGTGGGTGTGTAATTGTACATGCTTGAAGAAATGTCTGTGTCTTTTATAGGAACAGTCTCATAGAGTACAGCTAAGAACATCCTTTTTTGATTACAGTCTTTGTTAAAAAAAGTTCACCCTCATTAGTCTGGTTGTAATACTGTGTTTGTAAAAATGAACTCCTAAGGAAGCAGTGGGGAGGGGGGATACTTTGAATGTATTTTACATGAAATGCAAACTTGTTGGCTAAAAATCATCACTTTGTGTTCCACTGTATGTTTATTAACTCTCCCCATACGTATTCTCAATAATCCGTGTCCACTGCATTGGTGTCAGTTCCCTTGCCGAATTGGAATTCAGTCCCCGTCGGAGGCAGTTGGTTCAAGAGTGACCACACAGGCACGCACTCTCTCCGCAGCACCCACATACAGATTCTGAGTAACGCGTGCGCAGCCACTGGGGTTTTCTCTCCTTCCCGTTTTCTTGTCCTCTTTGAGATATTTTCTGCTCTAGCCTGTTAAATAAATGATCTGTCTCTTTGCAGGATAGTGACAACCTCTGGTGGGACGCTTTTGCCACTGAATTTTTTGAAGACGACGCCACATTAACTCTTTCATTTTGTTTGGAAGATGGACCAAAGCGATACAGTAAGCACCAAGTTTGTGTTTTTAAATATTCTTCTTTTTGTGCCTGTAAGAAAACCACGGGGGTTTTCAGAGAATAGCACAGTGCTGACAGCCTGACAGTAATACCTCTGCTCTTGACAGTGTTCTCACTTCCGTCAAGCCGTTGTCACCGGGTGGCAGCCCGGTCTGCGCCAAGAGATTCCTTGGAGGCTTAGACTGTTTGAGCACTGGCCTGTTTAGAGTGGAACAAATATGAACTGAATCACTCGGTAACAAGCAGGCACAGAATGATGGAAAGTTTTCATGCCTCTCATCTCTTTGCCCCTCTCTTACCCTGGATGGTTCGCACTTGATACCCAGTGTTCTGCTTGTGATGATTTCTTAAAAACAAAAAAACAAAAGCAAAAAAAACCTCACTACCGGTGTGTGTCAGCCACACCTGTCTAGCTCCCTTTTCTCTGTTATCTCAGCTATTTACCTGACAAGTGCTATCTTTTGGGGAATAGGGGGAGGCCTCAGCTTCTTTGAACATACACTTTGCGATTAGTGTTGGCAGAATTATAGCTGCTTGTCTCTCTGGCTAGTGATAACTCTGTAAAGACCCTCAAATTACACCCTGTGGCACCTTGGGTAACAGCTAATCCATCCCGATTAGGTTCAGGCAACTTGTCAGAAACCAGATTTGCTAGTTGTGCTATCAGATCAAGAGGTACAGATACATCAGCACAAAAGCAATTAATGTCCAGTTAGATCAGAAAGAGATGTGTTTTCAGAAATTAGTGCTGCACACACGAAAGTATCTGATGGAGGGAGAAACACGGGCACTGTCACAAACCCCCAGATGATACCAGAACCTGCCACAGCATGAGTGGGTCCACCCAGAGCATTTGCAATTGATAAGTAACAGGGCTCTTTATAAACATGATTGAAAGCTCTGATGCTTCCTACATTTATTTCAGAGTCACCAGGGAATGACTTTTTTTTTTTTTAATTCCAGGGGTCTTTAGACAATTTAGCACTCTCTGAATCTATTGCACGATTGCGTGATTAATTATGCTAATACATGTGTGCTAATGCATGTGGTGATGTCTTCGTAGTGGCACAGTGGGACAGCAGGCCATTGTGGACTTGCTACCCAAATGAAACTGGTTGCCCAGAGAGTTTGGTTTAGATTTCCATTTTGCTTTGTGTTGTGGACTTTGAAAGGCATGGGACCTTTCTACTCATTAAGTCGGGTGAGAGGAGCAGGTCGTGTGTCAGACAATGTGCCGAGTGTCTTTACATTCATAAAATGACTCCTGTCACTAGCACTGGTAAACTCACTCTATGGGATCCTTGCTTTGTGCGGTGGCTGCCCCCAAACCAGCTCAGGGCCCAGGGCTGTGTTTCAGAAGTCCCAGAGACACAAATGCACACAGCAGTTCAGCAGTTGCTCCCTACCCAAAGTGCTGTGATGTGCTGAATAATTTCTAACCAGGCAGTCATCCACTCTGAGTTACCCTGGCTTGCTTATGGATTGATTCATTTGTTTATATTTTGAGGCACAGCTCAGATAACTTCCAGTTACCATTGTTTTATGTCCCTGTGCTCTGCCAATTTGGGAATCCTTCTGGGTCTGCTCAGGGAACTGGAATTACGGCTTTGAAGTCTGTGCTGATAAAACAGACTCCAGCTCTTCCTCTGTCCCCCTGCACCCTACATCATTTGGGGTGAGGCCTGCTCTGCACCTGGGTGAGATCTGATGTCCATGCCCAGGAGTAAATACCCTCCACCGAGCCACTGTTGCCAGGGTTTCTTTGTTTCTCGGAGCCAAAATATTTCCCGAGTGGAGAAGAGAAACAAAGATGATTGGCAGTGTCGAGCGGAGACTCCTCAGCTGCCTCCCTGACAGCTCGGTGAGGAGCTCGGTGGCTGATGTGCAGGTGGGCGGGTGACAGCTGATTGACAGCACAGGACAGAGATGGGAAGCCAGCTCCCAGTGCCCTGTACGCACTGTTTATGCAGCTCTCAGAGTGGCACTGCCGCCTTAACCCATTCGAGGTCCAGAGGAGCTGTGCCAGCCTGAGAGATGCCCGGAGGCCCCTGGGCTGCAGCTCTGACTCTTCCTTGATGCCTCTGGGGAGCCGAGACTTCATATTTTCAGGAGGAAATTAAGACGTGCCCGTTAGATTTTATTTGTACAAAAAAATTACACATGCTAAGTAATAAATACTACTAGGTGAGGTCTTCTCCTCCCTTTCTAGAATAAAACTGTGTCTTCCCTTCTCCGTGTGTCTTTAGAGGGTCTTTTCATTTCTAAAATATCTGTCTCTAGGTTACCATAAATCCTGTAATATGTGTTCGCTTACTTGTTTCCTGTCACTCATTAAAATCCTGTCTCTGTGTGGATGGGGTTTTGTTAATTGCCGAATTCTCAGATGAATGCATGAATCACATGTAATAGGTATTCAATAAATATTTGTTGAATGAATGAATGAGTAAATGAACAGGCATTTGGGGAAAAACTTATCTTTCTAAATAGAAGGTTGGCAAAAGCAACTGCTACTGAGATTTTTGGACTTTTTAGCACTGGAGGAATGTGATCCATAGTTGGTTCCCTCCTGATCACAGTGATTGACAATAAAGCCCCAATAGTGTAATAACTCAGGAAATGATTATGCTTTGGGAGATTCATTGCTCCTTCCTTCTGCCAGTTATCCCCACTCCGGTCCCCAGGCCCTCCGCGCTCCTCACGTGAGAGCCCCGGGTGGGATACGATTGTGCAGTGCTGGTTCAGATGGGGACTGCTGGTCTACCCAGGGGACCCATGGTGTTGTTGTGAAGAGGAGCAGAAAGAGCAAGGGCACTGAACTGTACCGGGAATTGGGCCATGTGTGCCTGAGGTCATTTGTCTGGCCCTGCCTTAGAAAACATCAGGGAGAAGTAGCAGTGCCATGAAGGTGGCTTTTCATTTGGACTCTGTGGAATCCCAGGAGGGTCAGGGCTCACTGGTGGATATTCTCCTATTGTCAGCAAAGTAGAGTAAAGATCAGTAGACCTGAAAAGTGTCGGTCCTGAAAATGGAAATGGTGCGGAGGTTAGGTAGGCACTCAGCCAGGGCATCACTGGGCCTCAAGCTTGCTGACTTCAAAGTCCGTTGGTCTACAGATTCCCTACACATCCCATCCCTAGGTCACCCCACAGCTAAGGGGAACCAAATAACTTCATCAGTATACACATTGCTGGCAGCAGATGTAGGAGTCACATATAATCGTTGTGCCTTTATTCAAAAGAGCAGGTAAAGGAAGCCAAGGAAGGAGATGCCCCAAGCCTTCTGCTCACCTGCACTGTGATTCTAAATCCAGGGAAATGAGCTGTTGGTTCCTGTCTTCGTTTGGTATAGATGAGAGCATTCTTGGGTGAGGCTGATTGTTCGGTGCTCATTGCAAGCAGAATATTGATTTTCCTTTCCTCTCTTTTGGAATATAGGAGAACTGTGCCTCCCACCGGTCTCTCTTTTGTAACTCTCATAACCAACCCTCTGGGTGCCATGCTGCTGGTAGCCCCCTTGACAGACCTAACTAGTGTCCTGGACCTCATAGGCCACAGTCTTAGGCATTGCATGGTTCAGAATTCATTCAACATCTTCTTGTTGGGAGAGACTGTAGAGGAAAATTCCTGAGACTAATACCAGGCTGGCCCTGGAAAGCCGGGGAAACTATGTGGTGTAGGAGGAAGGGCACAAGGGTTTTCAACACCAATAGTTTTGGGTTTTAATCCATGCTTTGCTGCATAGCCAGTGCCACTCTCACTCGGAAATGAGGGATAAAAAAGGAGAAGGAATGCAGAAGGAAATGGCTAAGTATATGTGGGAACTGTGTTTTGGAGGACAAAAGACTACAGAACGTGTGTTAAACTCGATCTGGTCAGCATCACTTGGACATTAGAAGAAAAGTAGCATAACTACTAAATGCCTTCTTGCTTCAGAGCACTGCCTGTTGCCTGCCTTTTAGGAGCAGAGGCTGTGGGCCTGATACCCAGGTTCAATCCCAGCTCTATCGTTTATTACCTGTGTGATTTGGGATAAGTTATTCTAAAAGCATCCGTAGTCTCATCCGAAAAGTGAGGGCTGCATGATCCATGGAAAGCCCCAAGGAGCATTTCCAGCTCTTCAAAGCGCTCCATAAATATTAGCTGTTGTTATTTGATTGAATCCCATTGAGTCTGTTGCTCCCTCTAGATTGAGACCCAGGTCAATTCAGATAAAAGTTTCATTAATCCCTTAACTACTGTGTGTAATTTTGGGCTGATGGCCCTAATAATTCTTTATCACACAGTTGTTATTTCATCTTGACCTCTGTATTATGTTTGAAATAAGAATTTCTTGCAGGACCATACACAGTCAGATGAACTAAAACTGTTCTCTGGATTCTGTAGGAGCATCTTGCTTAAAAAAAAAAAAGGCAGAGAGAAAAAGAAAGCTGCTTTAGGAAATGTCATTGCTGTCTGTTGCTTTATTTTCCTCAGTCACCCAGTCTCATTAGTTTGAAAAAGTGCAAATTGACCTCTCCAGAGTCCTTTCATTGCTCCTTGTTTCTTTTACATTTTCTTTCCCCATCTCTCTTTTTTCCTGAAAGCTGTGATAGCTTTGCAATATTGACTAAGTTCTTCAATTTTGTCTTGTAATCTGTGCTTTTATGTGTTGTATATTTGGACATGTTCCCCTAAGGTGGAGAAATTCTACACAGCCCAGTGTAGCTCCACTATCTCCAGTTACTCTTTTTCTCTGAGGTTTTATTGGTTCACTCCACCCACCTTTATTTTTATTGAGCTTGCTGTAGAAGAATTCTGAAAGCATTTTGCCCATTTCCTTTTTTGCTCTCTCCCCTTTCTGCTCTCTAATAGCATAGTGCATGATTAAAAATACATTTCTGGGAAAAATCACTCCTTGATAATAAGTGTAAGGCACTTTGACACCACACTTAATAACTACCTTGGCATAAATGAGGCCATTTTTGAAAGTTACATGCAAAGAGTGTGCACTGGAGCACACTGGTAAAAGGGATTCCAAGACAGGAATCTGGGAACATGTCTTCTTTTTGAATAATGCTTTTACAGTGTCTGCCTGAAACCTGGAAAGGCACAGGTATGTGGGGTGAGTGCTTAGAGCTCCTGGACCTCCTCACCGGGCAAATACCAGCTGACCCTAGAAAATTTGTGCTCCATAAGTAACTTTGTTCTTTGAACGTTCCTTATACCCCAGTCATAGGGTGGAGGTCAAAGTCATGGACTTTGGATTTACAGACTCATTTCAAGTCTTTGCTTCAACATGACTGTGTAATATGAAGTTAGATATGTTGCTTAATTTATTTTAACCTCAGTTTCTACATCTGTACCATCAAGGTAAGAATAAAGCCAGCATAACAAGGTGCTTCTGAAGATACACTGACATGCACATGTAGCTAGCTTCATGTGGGCCATGGAATGCGCACTGTAAATGCTTACTGCATGAACTGGTGAATAGGCAAATGGCCAAATAAGCAAATGAGTAAAAGCTATGATATGACAGTCATTCAGAATTGAAGCAGAGGATACCTCTCTTCACACATTCAGTTATTTGGTGCATAGCAGGGGAAACTCTGGCTTTGCTTAGTGCTGTATTAGATCTGTCTTCATTCTGCATGGGAAACTTAAGAATTAGTGACCAATTGAAGGGAAAACTGATACTAATGGAAGATGGTGATTTAAACAAGCAAGTCCCAAACTATTGCAATGATGACACCTGTCCTGCAGTGATAGTTCCACTCCTTCGATTTTGCACACAGAGCAAGAGGTTGTTGAAACTAATTGAGGGCCAGTAACTTCTCTAGGCATCTTTGGACTCTGTATTTTCTTTACTAAAGATCAGTTGGAAGGAATTTGACTTTGACTGCAACTAAAAATTTAGCAGAGAGAAAAGAATGAATTTCTTGAGACTTGTCCTTGATGATTAATTATCGGAATGAATTCTTGACTGTGACATCTCCTTTGCATCATGACACAGATTCTAGACAGCACCTGCCCCTGCATGGAATGGCATTAAATGATTTCTAGATAATTCTAGCCTCTGATATTGTGATCTTCGTGTAATGCTTTTCAAAAGCAGTCTTCAGCAGGCTGGTGTCATTTGTAGGACCAAAGCAGACTTTTGTTCTTTGCTCCTTTGTTCCTTCACTCTTTCAGATTCATTCATTTAGAACTCACTGAGCTCCTGCTATTATCAGACATTATTTTAGGGCAGCAGACAGGTCTTAGGGTGAACACAGTTCATCCAAAAAACTTTTTGTTTACTTTTGATTTAAATTTTATTTAAAACTCTTACCTTAAGTTAGCATAATCAACTAACTGGATCAGAAGGAGAATATTCTAGTGACACTAATGGAAAATCTAGGACTAATCGTACAAAAAAGACTTCAGAGGAAGCCCACGACTAATAGATGAGCTGACAGATTTCTGAAGAAGAAAAAGGAGATGAATCTCTTCCCATTTGTGGTTTCAAATTGATGGTATCAGAAGTTGCAAATTGGCTGTAACAATAGATTGAGCAGACATTCCATTCTCTCATCTCTGATAAATACCACACTAATGATCGCATGAGATAATGGACAGAAAAATGCTTTGATTAAATTTAAAGTGCCATACAAGTTGAAGGTATAATTATCATCAAATTTATAACTGATCTTTTGGATTTGGCGAGTTTATATTTTCCCTTTGTATGCCATAAATCTGCTAGGGAATCGACTAGTTGCTGGATCTTTTCTCATGATGTTAAAATAGTCAGATATATAGGTTTAAGCAAAATAGACCTATAGCTGTCCTCGAGATCTTAGCTCGGAGGTCTGAATGATATACTGACCAGATAGTGGACATTATATGTAGTTTTTGAGACTGTGACATCTATGGACCTTGGCACGTGCATTTTCTGAGTCTTAGTTTCAGGGAGTGTATTACTGTTTCCATCTCCTCCACATAGTTCTCAAACCAAAATAACACCACCCCACCCATAGTTACTTATAGGAAAAGTGTGGTGAGTCTGTCATTATCACAATAGTAGGTGTAGCTACTGGGAGTTATTTTCAGACAGTAAGTGTTCTGCAAACTAAAGTATTGTTGAGAAACATCTCACCTGACCCTCCTGACCTCCATCTTATTTTCTTAAAGTAGGGTTGCCAGATAAAATGTAATTGCATAAATACAATATTTGGTACATAATTGTCCAGACACTCCTTGACTTACTGTGGTGCTCTGCTCTGATAAGTCCATTATTGGTTGAAAATATTGTAAATTAGAATGCACCTAACACCCCTACCCTGCTGAACATTGTAGGTTATCAGCACAGCATGACATGTGTCCGCTAATGATCAGTTGGCTGACTAAGCACTCTGGCTCACTGCTGCTGCCCAGCATAGCGAGAGAGCATCTTAGCACACAATGCTATTCCAGAAAAAGCAAAAAAAAAAAAAAAAAAAAAAAAAAAAAAAAAAAAAAAAATGCAACCCTAAGTGTATGGTTCCCACTGAATGCATATGTCTTTTGCATCATCAGAAAATAACTTTATGATAAGCGTATAAGTTGGCAGCTCTCTACACTACAAAATTGGTTTCTGTTCATCCAAAATTCAAATTTAACTGGACATCCTGTGCTTTTCTCTCCATTGAAATGTTTCAGGCCTACTTGAACCCCAGTTCATCTACAAATGCAAAATTTTGATAATTCTAGAGCAACTGCACTGGGTAATTAGCATGATTTACTACTGAAAATATCTTTCTGTTCACAAAAGTCTTACTTCTGATTATATCCAACTAGTGTATCCATATGAGTTTCATCTGAAGAAAGAAACACCTCAACAGAGGATGAGGAAGAGTAAGATGCAAGTTTTCCTGAGTTTCAATTCAAGGTCCATGGCGACTGTTGAATATTTGTGCATATGTTGATTGTGCACCCACAGTTGTGATCCATAGCGTGCTTTAAAGAAGCTTATAGTTCAGCAAGGGACACAGACATACAGACTGTTAACTCTGATGCAATAACACTGCCTCTGTAAGCATGGGGCAAGAAAGGTATTATGATGAAAGAGAGATTTAATGTACATAGGACGATGCTCGTACATGCTATGTGTATTAGAAACTTGCCAAAAGTGTAGATTTCAGATACACTGACAGCAGCAGCAATAAGCTTGGTAAGAAAATAACAACCATAGTAACTGTGTAAGACAATAGCTATGTTCATTTTCTTGACTGTAGTAATCATTTTGGTGTATACAGCAAAACATAAGGTTGTACACTTTAAATAAATGTAAACCCTTTAACGTAATATCTTGCAAATGCAAGGTTTTCAGAAAATATTTGTAGGTTGAATAAATGATGCAGTGCTCATAAATGTTACAAATGTGACCCCACCTACTTGATTATGTAGCCCACAGGTACATTACTATATTTTAGTTCTCCCCATGTTTAATGTTTCTATTCTCATGATCTCAGGCTGTCACAACTTGTTTGTATTCTAGAAAGAGATAAATGTCACAGAGCTATTTGGAAGCTTGTCTAACAAGACTCATATTTTGAACTCAGAACTAAAGTGCTATCTCTCCAGCATACAACAATAGGACTGATTTTTTACTTTAGCATTTTGGACTATGTGTTCCCGGAGTATTTTATTATATATTCAGGCAACTCACTGATATATCCTGTTAGAGCATCAAATTTGGTAAAATAAGTAGTTTTCAGAAAGGGTTAACTGGACACTTTAATCTTCACAGATCTTATTGGACATAAGATCAGTGGAAACACCTGTTTATTTATTTACCCTTCCTCAGGAAGTTTCCATGAGGTATTTCTTGCCTTGGAGACAAGAAGGTGAATGAGAAAAACTGCTTGCTTTGGAGAAACTAAAGATATAGGGAGCGACTGTTCCAAAGAATTAATGCTTACCATGTCTTAGCCATAGCTTTTCATATAGAAACCCTCTGCTTCTGTTTAGGAACCTGCTCTTAATAATGCTCAGTGTCATAGTTTGAGATTGTTATTACCAAATGCAACATTGGTGCCATTTTTTAAATGTAAAAAATTTGGAAAAATTACTGTTAAGCTGAGATGTGTGCAGTTATTTCTTCTATGTAATACTGGCTTGGGATATTTTGGTTTAGTAGGATGAGCCTATTTGAAGCAGTTTTTGCACAGGCTAATGTAGAACTTAATATTCACATTCATGTCATGTTTTCAAATTGTGGACACACCTTTTTTATGCAGATAGGGTAAAATAAAGCACGTGTTGAAGTCAGGTTAAATTAGCTTTCCCGTATAACTATATTAAGCAATATTCAGAAGGATTTCGTTAAGAATGTAGAGGCTCTGGGATAAAATTACCCGTCAGGATATGTTTCATTATTTATTGTTTAATCAAGGTAGTCATATTAGAGTATTTGCATTCACGAGCTTACAGAACTTGGCATTTTCATTTGTTTTGCCTTTATTATCCAGGTGACTTGCTTCGCACAACCAGTAGGCTTTGCTTGTTTATTTTTATGAAGTTGGTTCTTTCCCAAACAGTGCTTTCTTTAAAGTAGTCTTTGATGGAAACTTCCCTGTCACAGTGTGTACCCTTGGCTTCTGAGAGACTTACGCTTGGCAACAACTGACACTTACAGAATAATCATTTAGAAGATTTGGAGGAAGAAGTAAGGTCACTTGGGAACATAGTAATAAAACTGCTGTTTTTATGAGATATAGCGTAGTTCCTCTCATAGACATCAGAATCTGCTCTCCATGTTATCTAGGTAGAAAAAAAAACATTATAGTATTTTTACAGACCTTTCTAAAAATATGTCCTCATTTTCCCTGTCTTTGAATAATCTTATTTGCAATTTGATAGTTTGTTATTGTTTTATTTTGGAACATGCATCTTTTGCTATGTCGGCAGGGTTTGTTATACTCAGAATGATGAAAAACCAACAAACTATTTTCAGAATCTAATTATATGCCTAACCAGTAATGCTTGGAAGCTGACTGCCTTACAGACACACATAGGATCTCCAAGTCACTCTTGGATTCCTATGGAAGTCAGCTAGTAGAGATGGTTCTCACCTAAAGGACAGCTATTTGCATATGTGTTTCCAGAATAATACAAGCTTTGAAACATTAAAAAACTTGAAGTTGGCTCCTTGAGACGTATATGTGTCCATGTAAATCTGCCTTTCGAAATGTTTGCTGCATCGTGTAGGAAACAGTGCCAGCATTTGGTAAAGTCATTCACACTTGGCTCCCAATTGAGTATTTAGGATATTTCAACTTTGAAGCTTTAAAAAAATAAATAATAATCAACTTTTTCAAGGTTGCTTGCTTAAAATAATGCCCTCGTGCTTATTTGCTTCCCTTCAATAGGACCATAAAAGAAATGATAAACTGTTTTGGATTGATCATGTAAATAAACTGCTAATTATATCCTTAATAGTTCCCCACACTTACAGACATTGTACCAGAATGTATTTCCTATAATATGCTTTAGTACGGGAGCTCTATTATTTTTTAAAAGATAGGCCCAAAATCAGTAATTATGAGAGTTATTATTCAGGTTCACAGCAGTGTGGCAGCTATTTTTCACTTGATAATTGCCTTGCTAAACTGATGGCAGACCAGCGCCATGCCTTATTTAAGAAAATGGTCCACCATCCCCGAGTAAGCAGGCCTAGCTGTGGAAGTTTCAGAAGATTTATTAAATCTATTCTCATCCTCAGCATTGCCTCATTGTCATTAGTTACAGAGTTCCAAGAGGTTTTATATTTCTTGTTAAATATTTGTAGCCTCATGCTTGCATTCCCATTGCATCTCTTGGCAGTTGGTGACTCCATAGTGTGTGTTTTGTTTTGTTTTTTGAGATGGGGCTCTCACTCTGCAGTTCAGGCTGGCCTTGAACTCACTAGGTAACCCAGGCTGGGCTCGAACCCATGGCAATCCTTTTTCCTCAGTGTCCCAAGTGCTGGAACTCCAGATGTGGGCCACTGTGTCTGGCTGGTGTTATTTCCATTCTTAGCTCTTGTCTTTGCTGTCAACCAGGACGTTGTTTAACTAGTGCTACCTCCCTTTAGGGGCTTCAGGAGGAATACAAAAGAGGACCCAACCCTAGAACAATAAAGAACATATACTTTACCATCCACATTATTTCTTTTCTTCCATTTCTTATTTTTAAATTGCAATTTTATTTATTGCTTCTTTCCATTTGGGAAAAAAATCAGTACTCTCCAATATCATTTGTGATTTTTGTAAAAAAAAATACACACAGGAAGGGATCCCAATTTTCAGTCCAAAGTAAGTTATTTTTGCTGTGGTATTATAGTTGGTCAGAAGAAAATGATGAAGAAAGATACTTCATGGATTTTGACCTTGGGGTTTTTTCAAAAGTGTTCAATAGTAACCTTCTAGGTTGGTTAATGACTTAAAATGTTACATATTCTGATGATGGTTGGCAGTTTGTAAAATTCTTTGATAAGTCAGCCCCATGTGTAAGCTCACTGAGGGTGAGGACTGTGTCTCACTGCCCTCTGTATCCTCTGTGCCCTGACAATCTGTGCAGAGTGAGACAGGATGGCAGACTCACTCCATCCTCAATGCTGGCAGGGAGCAGGTTTCCTGTTAACCATTTGCATTGGAAAGAGGAGAAAAGGAGGCCTCAGGGGGTGCAGAATTCAACTCTTCCACCTTAGAGGCCTGTGGTGTGACCCCTACACTGTTCTGCTACCCAGCAGCTGTTTTAAACCTCTAAATACTCGTATTTCGTGTTTGTATGAAAATCTCTTACTCTGCTTCTTTCAGATTTACCTATCTCCCTCGTCCACTTCTCCCAGAAAGAGCACAATTTACAAATAATTAGTCCTTAATGGCAACGTATACTTTTAGCATCTTTTCTCATCACAGTATAGATTGCTGAAATCCCTCTGACATTGCTGCTACAAAGCTGACATTTATAAACTTTCTTTTCTGATGCAGTATGGGATCCTCCATATGTCTTCCACAATAACTTTCCATGTTTGCAGAGAATCTAAAGATTTATTTCCTTCCAAGTCCTTGTTGCTGGCATTCTCTCCAAGTCTCCCAAACTGCCAAGAGATGAACTTCAATTTAGAGGAACTGTTACATTTGTCATTGTGAATTTGCTCATCTTTGGATAAATTTGAAGATTTATGCTTATTCCCAAATGGGCCCCTTCAATATATTTGAAGCTCAGAAAGTTCTTACTTGGCTTCCTCTTCACTATTCTAAGTAAAGGCCCTCTTAAGTCTGTGAAGTCACCCTGCTTGGGCTCAGGCGCCTGCATTGTGTCACCCTGGAAACATTTGAACTTATAAGAGGTCGAATGTGACTGGAGGTGGATCCTCTCTGTGCCTTGTGTTGTGAAAATCTCACTCTGTTTGAGGATGACCTGAGTACCATAAACAGCCCCTCACTTAAAGATAGAATCCTAGGGCTTTGAGTCAGACAGGCCTGGCTTCACGTCATGACTACACGGTGCAGTGATTGTCTGACCCTGGTAATATTCCTCTTTTCTCTCAGCCTCACTATTTTCATCTATATAATGAAAATAACATCTACCTGGCAGTTGTATAATAATATTTGTATATACTATACAAGCAGTTATTGATAAAGGAGAGTTTATCATACCAAGCTATCATACCAAGAAGTTGTCTTGCCTTTGATTTGTTCAAGGCAATCAGTTGGTTGTTGCAAAACCAGAATTGGAATTTATGTTTTCATATTTGTTTATAAAACACGTTAGTGACCAGCTAAAAGTTCTCTTTTTCATGAGAAATAATCTACAAGAAACATTATTTATGGGGACCATTTTTACTTCCTTTTGCTCTTATAATCATCTTCAAAATATTTGAGAACCAAGTACGGTACAAAGCATCACTAACTAAGTGAATTTAATCATGGACAAAACATCAGAGGCAACCTATGTGATGGGTGTTTGGTGTTCTATTGCATCACACTTGGCTCAAAGCAAACCACATTTAATGTCTCGCTTTGCTTGGGTTGGTAGTCCACAGTAGGTTAGCTCATGGTTTTCGAGGCTGAAATCCAGATGGTTGTTGGGACTGAGAGCTTACCTGAGTCTCAGGATTGTTGACAGAATTAAGCTCTTTACATTAGCAGGATGGAAGTCTTCACTTTCTTGCTGACTCTGAATCTGAGGATGTTTTCAGCTCTGGAAGTCTCCTCCAGAGCCCTGACGCATGGGCCCCTCTGCCACATGGAGCGGGAGACTCACCACCCTCAAATCTCTCTGATATTAGATCTCACCTCATGTCAGCTGAAACAGGGTCATTTCTTTCCATTTTAATAAACTCACAGTCATCTGATTGGGCACTTTAATTAACTCTGCAGAACCCCTCTGCCGAACCCCTCTGCCATATAATGTAACACAATCATGGAATGATACCCCATTATAGTCAGAAGTCCCACTCACGTTCAGGGGGAAGGCATTGTACAAGTGGATTCACCGGGGTTAGGAATCTTGGAGGCCCTCTTAGACATGAACATGAAATAAATACCTAATTAGATATGGCTGTGATTCAGGGTGCCCTGACACGTGTCTTCAGATATGTGAAAAGTGTGCTCTAAAGCCAGAAAAGAGTCATTTCCTGCTGGGGGTACAGGAGCATGGCAGAGGCGGCTGAAAGGATTCCTTTAGGCAGAAGAGAGGCATGTGGTACAGTGAGAAAGGGTAGACAAACATCCCAAGAGAGGCAGAGAAGGTATTTTGGAGAAATGGTGAATGGTTTTGTTTGGCAAGAACTTGGCTTTAAGAAGCTGCTCCATGGTTGTAAAGAGACTGTTGTGCTTTGAGCAAATAAAACCCATAAAACCTTTTCATGTGTGTGTTCATGTGGTGGGGATTCAGGAGAAGACAAGTCAGGCCCGGCCACGTCCTCTCTGTGGTGGGCTCTGAATCGTGTCTCTCTGGTCACTCTTGAAGACCTTGGGAAAGTCCGCTTTATCTCCACCCTTTCTGTCATAGAATTTCAAATCTAGGAACTTGTGTGTCTTGAAAAATTGTCCTCTCTGTGGTGGGCTCTGAATCGTGTCTCTCTGGTCACTCTTGAAGACCTTGGGAAAGTCGCTTTATCTCCACCCTTTCTGTCATAGAATTTCAAATCTAGGAACTTGTGTGTCTTGAAAAACGCCTTCTCTGAGGGCTTTTCCTGTGTAGGTGGAAGTAAGAAAGAGAAGTCTGGAAAAATGGGTTCAGTTGCATTGACTACATATTAAACCAGCTTGAGCTGGTTACAAATAAAAACTCAAAACTGTGGTGTGTCAGTGCGTCCCCCTTATTCACACGTTCATGCAACATATATGTACTACATTCCTGCTGTGTCATTCACTCTGCTTTGCTCTGGGGATACATTAAATAATGCAGCTGTAACCCATGTCCTCATAAGGTCTATGTCCAAGCTCTGTCTAACTTTTGGGTAATTCTAGACTGTTTAGACTCTAAATTCTTGAAGGGTAGGGAACTAATAGAGTTAATACCAATTATTCATTAATTTCAGTTGTGATGAGTGCTATGGGCAATGTATATGGGATGCTGTGAGAGGAAATTAGAGACTTTATCCTGTCTCTACAGGAAGGGATAGCAGAGAAAGTTGGAGAGTAAACAACACTAAAATGCTCAGAGAAGTAATACAATCTTGAAAACATTGAGAAAAATAAGTGTGCCTTAGAGAAGAAGTGAATGAAAGTGAACATAGATGTTATCATTAAGCCAGTGAGCCAACACAGTGATGAACTGTAGATTTGGGATGAAATGATTTTGCCTGCATACTTTTCCTAGTCTTTTCTGCCTGGTGTACAAGATCCTTTTTTTCCCTGTCCACCCTGTCCCTTGCTTGCTTCTGCATGGTTACAGCACCCTTCTCTCTGTGTTAGCATCAATGTATGGACCATGATCCAGCTTTCATAGTTTATGGTTACATGTTCATAAGCTTATCATCTGGAACTATTTGGGGATGACCTCAGGCAGTGATTATAGTCTTTTTATCTCTTAATCTCCAGTGTCTAATGCTTTTCCTGGCATTGAATAATATCTATTGAGTAAATCAACTAGAAGTAGTTGGTAGTTCAACAGAAATAGCATCTCCATAGATTGTAATGCTTTAAAAGGAAGATATTTCAAAAACACAGTCCTGTAAAATGAGTTTAATCTGCCTCAGAATGGTAGACAGAGCACACCATTCCTGGAGGTGATAAAAGTTCCATAATTCTGTGTACAGACATAGGAATCACAAGGAAAGCAGAATTTAAAAAAAAACTTGATTAATTATAACTACTTTCAATTACTAAATTATATCTTTGATCTTGATTTCTTGGGAAAGTTAATGTCTTTTTTAATATGCTGGATTTATGTCCAAAAATAGCATGACTGAGTGGTGGAGTCTTTCCTGGCCATAAACTTCTGGGTTGTGCTATGTTCTCATTATTGAAAGTTACATTTATGATAGGGAGGATGTGATTTAACATTATGGAGTCTTTCCTGGCCATAAACTTCTGGGTTGTGCTATGTTCTCATTATTGAAAGTTACATTTATGATAGGGAGGATGTGATTTTTAACATTATAAAAAAAATACATGGATTACATTAAAGAGATATTCCACGTAATCATTAGGGCTGAAAAGTCTGTCAAGCTATGAATGAAAATATGGTAGATAGAGGAAGGCATCCAGACAGACAGAATAACTGTGTCACTTAGTATAGAAGAAAATGTATATTCATACTCATGAATAAAATGTCATCCAGAAGTCTGTTCTCCTATGGGAGAGATGGAAAGAGTGGCTATGTTCCAGAAGTCCACGAGTTATATTAGATAAGTATCACATTAGCACGAGACAGAAATCAAGCGGATGTGGAAAGTTCATGAGTTAGTACCTGGACCGCTGTTTTTAGTAGCATGAAGGGCAGAGGATATGGAGGGACAATCAAAAGAGCAGCTCACACTATTGGAGGCCTGGTCGGACTGATCCATGGGCAGAGAATAAAAGACTTGTGAGGTAGCTAAGCAACTGTTACTAGAGAATGCATCACGATAGACACCTATAAACCTCCAAAGCTCACAAGTGGCATGTTTAGGGCAGTGTGAGTCGGGAGTATAACCAAATGCAGGAAGATGAAAGAAGAATTTGAACAGCTGGGTTTCTGCCAGAAGAAGAAATGACGGAAACTGACTCTTAGGAAATGGAAGCTGATTTCTTTCTAATGGAAGATGGCATGGTGTAGTGCTACTAAGATACAACCAAGACAAATGTATTGAGGTCTCGCAGTAAAATCTCTGTTAATTCTTCCCCCTTTACAATTCCAAGTTTAATTTTTCTTTAATTAATCGTGAGATGAGCCATGCTATTGCAGGATCCTTTTATTTCATATTCAGTAAACCTCCCTTGTTTAATCCAACAAATAAACACATGACTTTATAATGCATGTGGCTATACTTTCTAAAAGTATGAACACTTGAAATCAGATATAAAATGCAGTGGAGTTTATTAAAAATACGTTGTTTTCATATGTTTTAAAACCATAATGACTCATCTTTCTTTCTTTCTTCTCTGCGTGGTACTGGATGTCCTCTTCTTCCCCAAAATTTCTCTGAAAAAGAAAATTAAAAATATTTGTATCACCAACAACAGTTTCAGAAACTGAAAGGGTGGTCCAGTTTCTGGAAAAAGATTATTTTGAAAATGCCTCAGATTGGCTTAATTAAAGAGAAGTCCTCTTGAAATTTCCTGCTGAAAGTATTAGAAGATGAATCTCCCTCCCTGCCGCCCTCCTCTGCCACACAGACACACAGACACACAGACACACACACACACACACACACACACACACACACACACAAATGTTTTACTTCCTACTTCCATCACAAAGGTTTTGAGACAGATTCCAGAATGACAGGGATTTTCCCAAGTTACAAGAATTGGACTCAGAATTTGAAACTGTCTTCCTCATTAAAAGATCTGAAATTACTAGAAATATCAGCCAGCCTAAATTGGGAAGATTTGCATAAAGTAAGAGTAAACAATTTATGATAAGAATTTATTCAATATGGGATTGCAAATGTTATTTTATCCATTCGCATATTTATTCATTCTATGCTTAACACGGCTAACATTTGTTCGTTAATTTGCCAAATGTTCTCTGGCTCCTTGCACTTAATACACGCAAACCAGATTTTCACTCCCCAATGTGGACACCTCTGGTCCTCTTAAAAGTTTTCACAGACTTTTGTTTGAAAACGAAAGGATGTTTTTAACCAAGGACATTAAGTGAATCTAAATTTTGTATAACAAAATCCAAACTAATTGTATGTATTGTAGGAGAACCATCTAAAGTCGTAAAGGCTATGTGGTAGCTTCTCATCTTGGACAACAGGTCTCCATCATTGGAGAGCTGAAGAAAAGTAATTCCCAGAATTCCGTGTTCCTAGCGTTTTGTCATTGGGCACTCTTCTCCTGTGAGCCCAAGGGGTGAGATGTGCAGAGAGGACCATTCCTGCACAGAACGGAAGCTCTGGTTAGAGAGTGGGAAGGTGGTGGGGAGCGGTGGGGAGGAACAGAGGGATGGCCCTGTGGCTTCCACCTGTTTGGCGTACATAGTCCCTGCACTGGTCTGGCAACCCAGATTCATGGACCGTTGCTCTTCTCTTAAAAGAGATGTAGAGAGATCCAGAGGAGGTAAAAGGAGGAAAACTTAGCCCAGGAGCCAGAACAGCTACTGCAGCTGGAAAGTCAGCTTGAAATTGTTGTCCACTGGACCCCCCAGGATCCTTAAATGTCCCTTCTTCATCTCCCAGGTGTCAGGAGACCATAGGAAGTGTGAAGGAGGGCAAAGTGGCACATGAGACCCCAAAGTGAATAGACATCCCTCACTTGGCAGCGCTCTTCACCAAATGAGTGCCCTATTTTTGTGAAACTGGTGATTCTCATTCTTTTGTGCCTAAGTTCCACCATATAACTTCACAATCCAAGCTCTTGGAAGATGGAAACCAGCTCTTCCTCACTTTTACTGAGAAATGATGAGTAGGATGGGGCATCCCAACTGTGGGCACAGCCAGTGGGAAAGAGAGGAGGGTGGAGAAACCTGAGGCAGGAGGAAGGAAGTTGGGCCGGAGAGGATTGGATGCAGATGAGTGCTTTCTTGTAGGATGGGTGAAGGCAAAAGGCCATAAAATGGAGACCACCCATGTAACAATGCTCATTTAGGGATTTACAAAACAAAACAAAATGAAAAACAAAAAAACAAAAACAAAACAAAAAAAAACAGTTCCATTTCATTCAGGACAGCCAATTCTGTGTACCAGGAATAAGAAATTCAACTTCTAAAATGTTTAGTGATCAGTAATGTTGACTTGGTCTTTAAATCATCTTCATTCATTCTCTCACTTGCTCGTTTACTTAATCAACAAGATTAAATACAGAGTTATTGAACGAATTTCCCCAGAGAATATGTTTTGGGACATTGCTCCAAAGATCTGGCCTAACTGGATGTCTTTGTCATGCATCATTATTGTTACAGTTACTGGTAGAAAAGAACCTACTAAGCTGCAATCTAGGTTAGAACTCCAATTCAGAGCATCACGTTTAATGTGGCCAGCTGCTCTAAAAGGTATAATTGGCGGGATTAAATCAGATGAAACTAAAGCCAAGTCCAGACTTGAACTGAAATTTCTTTGTTTTTTTTTTTTTTCCTCTTGAGTCTAACTCCTATTCTCTTTCCCTGTGTTAGGCTATCTCATTAAAAGTGTGTTATCTTACTGCAGCTCCATCTCCCCTAAGTATGGAGATTTTCATTTATTGTATCTGTTACCACTAATAACAATATTAAAAAAAATAAGCCCATATGTGATGATAGTGTGAAAAGTAAACATGGCAATTAGGCAACATCCCAATGAAGTTAATTATTGCCTTGATGACTGGGGTGGTTTGTGTACAATAGTTGTGAGCAGCCAGCGTCATATCAGAAGGCAGTGCTTCCGCACACCCACTGCATCACAAGCAGTGTCGGCAGAAGAGCAGGCTGCTGAGAAATGTGCAAACTCTGGATTCACTGGTGCTTTGTACCCAGGGCTGCTCTTGTTTCATTATATCCTTCTGGTCCCCTTTGAGGCAAATGTATCAACGCCCAAGCTGTGCATGTTTGGTTCTGTAACCAAGTCGTTTGTGTGCCGGATCGACAGCCAGACTCCTGATTCCCAGAGCAGCTCCTCAGTAGTATTGGTGCACACTGTATCCATCAAGAATTTCCAGACCAGCTCAGGAATCAGATGCCAAGACCGCCCCTGCGGCCATATGCTCTTCTTAGACATCCTTTTTACAGATTCCTAATGTCTGGTATGTGGTCAAATGCATTTCAGTCATGTTGCTCACTGTGTTTCTTCCAGGGTTAAATTTTATAGCCCGCCATTTCACCAATCAGGACGGCTAGGTAAATCTTGTGCTACATCTCGATAACAAGCAACCCTGTTTGATTTTGGGCCATATTCTTTGTTGAGCTGTCCAATTAATCTGAACGCTGTTCAATCTAAGAAGGGGTCTGAAACAGGTGCTTGTCCCAGTTTATGGTTTCATCCCTTTGTTCTGCTGGTTTTTAAAAATGTATATCTGGTTCCAGTCAACGCTAGCCCCTCAGCTGCTATTTGAATGTGTAACCTCAGCATATCACCCAGGGGACTGTCACTGTCATCATCCCCATACCACTCTCCCTACCTTGATAAAGTCAGCCACCATGCTGACTCACCAGCTAAGAAACAGTAACGAGGTGGAAAGTGGATAGATTTGCCTAATTTGGTTTTGTAAGTGCAGAGTGCTCATTTTTAGTTTCCACAAGTTTCGCTTTGTTGCCAAACTCTTTTTCAGTAAAGCATGCATTCCACCTTTCCTTCCCCATATCCAGGTCCCCCAAACTGTCATACTTCAGATATATGTGTTTGTTCATCCAGATAGAAATCATCTCGGCTTCTCAGCTATCTCCCTTCAAAATAAAGCTTCCTGTATTAGACAGTTTCTCACATTTTACAATTTGGTTTCTCTATGGAACTATAGCTGTGGATGGTAATGAGTTTGCCATGGCAATTTCTAGCTATCTGGACTATAAAATCCTATTTTACCCAAGCATAATAATTGAGTTTATTAATGAGGGATCGAAATAGTAGAAAAACAGTATAGGGAGCCACTGTGATTTGCTTGGTATAGGTTAATAATCTTACATTATAGAGCATTCATGGCTTCCTTGTGCTCCAGAACAGAAGCTGTAGTGGCAAAGAACATTGTGATCAAATCCACACTAATGAGGAAACATTTGGAGCTCTGCAGGGGGATAAAAAGGAAAGTATTGTTATTGTGAGTGCCACGTATTGTCCTTTACCTTTTTAAGGTGTGCGCAAATGCATACCTAATAATTGTATTTGCATTTATAGAAGAGCTCCCACCAATTCCCAAAACCCTCGAAAAGGCAAGGCTGCAAGTAAAAACCATAAAGCTGCGTATCTGAAAACAACAGTTCATCAGGAAGACTTTTATCCTCTGTTCCACAGGTTCAAATTCATAACTAGACAGATTGGAATCTAAGCAACCTGAGATTGATAGGTTAAATTCTTTACACAAATCTCTTTGAAAGAATGGATCTACTTTTCAAGGCAAGGATCCTGAATTCTTGTTGGAATGTTTTGAGAATTTTTCCACAGTTTGCAAGTCCAGCTCAGTGAATTTTGAAAAAGAATTGTATTTGTGAAGACATCTGGGTTTATATTCATTTGCTTTCTTAAAGCCACTGTTTTTGAATGGAATCAGGTAGAACCAGAGAGGCAGCAATTTTCTCATAGGCCGTTATGGGCTGAGCACAGCAGCCTAGGCCGGATCAAGGGCCTTGGGAAACTGAAGCAGTCTTAGAAAGAGTTTAAGAGCTTTTCAGAAAATATGAATTTGCCGTAAATCAGGTGGCTTAAACAATAGACATTTATTCTTTTGTAGTTCTGAAGGCTGGAAATCCAAGATTATGCTTCTGGTTGATATGGTTCCTGGTGAGGAATCTCTCTGTGGCTTGGAGGCTTCTATCTGTGCGCTCACATGACCTCTTCTTGTGCATGGCAGGAGGCGGAGAGGGGGGCTGTTCCTTTCTTATATAATCTCATCATGAAGGTCCCACTAGAATTCATCTCTCTCAACTCTAATTACCTCCCAAAGGTTTTATCTCCAAATATCACCATAGATCTGGTTAAAACTTTAACATATGAGTTGTGTGGGACACAATTCCGTTCATAACAGCAGGTGAATTCATACACCAGAAATTGCAATAGGCCTGTTTGTGCCAAATGAAAAGGTGGTCATTTGTTTTCATTCCACTGCACTCCACTCCGTTCCATTCCATTCTGTCCCATTCGATTTCGTTCCATTTCAACTCATTCTATCCAGTCAAGTTCCAGCATATGTCTCTGTTAAACATTTGTACTTAATTTACCTTTTTTTAATTTTATTTTAGCCTCCCTCTTCTTTAACCTTTTCATCTTTCTTTGTTCCAAAATTCCTTTATTTTCTCCCTGCTTTCCCTCCCGCTCTCCATTTCTAACTCCCGGAGGAAGTGCTGAAAAAAACCCTGTCCACACACAGGTTTCAACCTATCTGCTTCTTACTTTCTGCGAGACCTCAGAGAAGTCACCTGGACTCTTAGTAGCAATGCTCATGGACACTCATTGGGGTGAATAACAATTGTGTTCAAAATTCCTTTATTTTCTCCCTGCTTTCCCTCCCGCTCTCCATTTCTAACTCCCGGAGGAAGTACTGAAAAAAACCCTGTCCACACATAGGTTTCAACCTATCTGCTTCTTACTTTCCGCGAGACCTCAGAGAAGTCACCTGAACTCTTAGTAGCAATGCTCATGGGACACTCATTGGGGTGAATAACAATTGTGCGACTTAATGGAGCAGGGTTATTGTATTATTAGGCACGGTGCCTCGGAACATTGCTGTAGGAGCTTAATACATGGATGTGTTAACACTTGGATGGAGCTTAACACACAGACATTAGAACGATACATGAGATGCAGGAGTCTTAACCTGATGGCTTCTTGGCCTAGTGTGGAAAGCAGCTGTGAGAGATGAGACCATTGCCTAAGCACTTGTGCTCTGAATTGGCCTGTGTGAGTGAGTTTAAATCCTGACTTGCTTCCACAGTAAATGACTTAGCCTTTATGAGCTACTGTTTTAGAACTATAAACTAGGACAGTGGTGTCAGTAGCCACCTAAGAGAGTTTGGGACAGGGATAAAGGAGAGAATGTCTGCTAAGTCCTTGGTTTGTACCAAGTAGTAGTACATAGCCTATAAATTTTAGTTAATTTTATTACAAAAATCTATAATGTGGTAACAGAGTGATGGAGTTCATATTAGCCTAGTCCACTGGGCTCAGCCTGGAGGAGTCAAAGATTGATAATGATCTTTGCTTGGTGGAACTGATAGGTAAGATGACCATTCATCAAAAGTTTGGGATCTACCTGTCACGATGATAGCACCGCAGAGCTGATTTTGCAAAACTTGTGTGAAGGGCTCTCAGATTGGGGTTAGCAGCCTGAGAATCAGAGCTACCAAAGAGATCTCAGCACCCCCACCCCCAAGTGCCAGCCATCAGAAGAAAAATCCAGGACACAAAGGCCAAAAACAATGTGTTTCTTTCTGATGTTGCTAGTCAGCCTCAAGAATTCATTCCAAACAGCAGAAATGCAAATCAAATGAAATAGCACAGACCCAAAGTACCTGGATAATGCAGAGCCAGCGTTCATTTTCAGCACAGGAATGTGTTGAGGTGGTCTTGGTCAGGGCCTGATATTAAACAGCTTCGCTCTAACTGTTCACTCCCGAGGTGTTAGAAATCAGTGCTGATGATGAAACACGTTGTGTGGTGTTTCTGCTAGAAAATCCCTAATCAAAATAAATGTAAAAGCTGAAGTGTGTTCCATGCCCAAGTTCTACGTGCTCCTTAGAAAGATGATCTATTCCCTGGAGAGAAAGGAAAGAATTAGAAATGATAACCACCTTTTAAATATATCAGCTAGCACTGTGTCAGGTGATGGTGTATTTTTTATCAGCTTTTCAGCCAAAGCTTCATTTGATTTGTGCAGGGGTGTGTATAATATGGGGAGGCCAGTGAGCTGATTTTTATAGAGTCTGTTTGTAGCTTAAACAAAGATGGGGGATTTGGAGGATAAAGGCAGCCTGAAATATAGCAGATTATGCAGCTTTATTTTTCAAAGATTTGTTGATTCCCCTCTCCCCCCCACCCCCAGCTCTCTGGCTGAGCCGGTGTGTTTTGTATTTTTTTCTTTTCAGTTGCCATTCAAAGAGAAAATGTTAAGTTTTAAGTGTGAATTTCCGACTGAAATTTCATGTGCCCAGCTGTTACCAGGGCCAAGACAGCGTTGGAAAACACACATTACCCTTAAATAGTGTGGCCTTATGATAAAGAATAGGATAAATAAAGGCTGAACTTATAAAGCCTCTTTTAATATGACAAGCTTAATTCCCAGCATGAGCAGAAAGGGCTGGAGGGCTTGTGTTTTTGTTTTTAACATGAAAAATGAAGTTTGCTTTGAAATCTGAAATCTGAAATACTGGAATTTTCTGCAGGGCAAAGACTGCCTTTGCTATGTATGGAACTGAGGAGTTTGCCATCCATATTTTCAGGATCTGGCTGATAATGACATGGACCGTCTTTCATGTATCTGCAGATCCTGGATCTATATCCAAGCCTTTCCAATAAAAAAGGGATCTCATTTGATTTTTAAATGTGCCCTTGATTTCTTGACAGGGTCTAGTTATTTGCATGCAAGCCGCTAAGGCAAAAGTCCTGAGGAGGGTCATTTGAGATCCCTTTTATTCTTTCCTTTGTTAGTAAAATCCTTGCTTTCTTCCTTTTAGCCATTTAACATATATTTATTGTGCTTTCCTGTCCTACAAAGCTTTGGTTCTGCCTGCTGAGGGCTACAAAGATGCATATGCTATAGACCAGGCTTCAAGACGAAGACAGTCTGGGGAATCCACTGAAGCCAGACATGTTATGAGAACACGTTTAAAGCTGCAGTCAGCTAGAAATTACGACATTACAATGATGACACATGGTATGATTTATTGTGCCATGCAATGATGAATGAAGCTTTAATTGTAAATGCAATCGTTGATGTTTCAGTAATTCAGGTGTTTATATACCAAAGAACTAAAAATCACAGTTATTCTTTTCTTGTTGGTTTTGAGGAACTAAAAATTATTTGGAGTTAATGCCACTATTCTACATCTATATAGGCATACATCTAAATCTACATCTATATGTGTGTCAGTCTATCATCCATCACTTGTATATCTATCTCTATCTCTTTCTGTCTTTCAGTACTAAAATGCCAAGTTTCTGGGTGAGCAGGTTTCTTTAAGCCTCGTTAGAGCAGGTTCTTTGTTGAATGGGTCATCTTGTAGCATGAAGAATTTCCCTGGCCTCAGCCCTTGGTTCTCTGTTCTTTTTCCTTCTTGCCACCGAGCCATTTGCATGGGCTTAACTTGACCTGACTGCAGCCATCTTGAATCATCACTATGGTTGCCGCTGATTAACTCTGTGGTCTGTTTTCTCAGCAGTTTCCCAGCACCCTGTAAACAAAACCATGACAGTGGTATGTTGGAACTTTACAACCAGTTACTAGTGCCCTTAATGCCCAGAATGGGCCTGTCCTCTTTGGTATTTAGAATAATCCAGATACATTCTGACTTCGATGAAGTCACTTTTATCCTAACCATTATATAACCCACCTCCCTCTAATCCAAATTGTTAGGGATCCACTGTTTATGCTGCTGCCATTGTCCATGTTTCTGTCATCAGGTCCCCAGTAACTTGTACTCTGTGTATTCTAGACCTGTTTGCCTCTTTCTTTGGTCTCACAGCATCTTGAGATCAGTTCTCATGGGACTACAATTTTCTGGGAAATCATATTGATGTGTATTAAGTTCTCTGCTCATTTTTGGGTGCGGAATTTTAAAAAATACAATATTCAGAAATAAGTTGCTTACACAGTGCCTCCAGGATGACCCTCTACTGAGCTCTCCTGCATGATGTGGGAAATAAGCACTGGACTGTAAGTTGGAAGACCTTGTTGAGGTCTGCCCATGGATGCCCCCATGAGATCGGTTAGAATGTTGACCTTTCTCAGATTCCATTTATGAATGTGTAAAAGTCAGGCTTGACAGTAACCCTTTTCCACACTTACATTCCATTTTATTGGCCCATCCATTGAACTAAGCTTTGCCTTCACTTTAAAAAAGCAAGACAAATGAAAAAGGATGACTCAACCAAACTGAGGAACTAGAAGTTTTAAGACAAGCATAAGAATCAGGGGATGCTGGATAAAAATTAGCTTGGGGGAAGATATAAAAACACTGATATTAATCCTGGAAAGGTCCACATAAATATTTCCAAAATGGCTACAAGGCTTCCCTCTTTAAAAGTAAATGTTAGCTATCATGTTTGAAGAAGAATTTAGGAGACAGAACAGGAGAAGTCAGGTAAAGTAGTGGTTTAGGAAGGGGTTCTGAGCCACATGCTAATCGCTTCTCTTCCTGCTCTGGTCTTCCCATCCTTGGAAGGGGATGTAAGCTGTCCTAGACCTGCGTTCAGCTCCAGGGACAGAGCCAACATCTAACCTTGCCTTGCATCATCTCTCTGCAGGACAGAGCGTGCCCCATCATCCCCTTCTCGTTCCATGTTCTGATGCATGCCTTTTGGATTAGTGAATCAAGAATCTGAGCCCCTACTGCATCTCCTTTAACTTACTAGCTTCCCAAAGGAAACTGGACCCCTGCTCCTGTCTATGAAATGCATTCCATTGATTTGAGGAGTTATAAAATAACAACACTAATTATGCCATTTTCTAAAGCAACCTGACCCATGTTAGTGTGAATGTGTTAAAAAATAATTATGTATGCTAGTATAATATACATATGCAATTTTTGCATTCCAGATTTCTTACTGTTGGTATCTATTTAAAGCTTTTGAAAGAGACCCAGTCTTTTCTAGAAAAATGTGTGAAAATAGATTTGGGACTGTTATCTCATCTGCTAAATATCTTTCTTTTTCTCTGCTTTAATTCAAACCAGCCTTCAAAGACCCCCTAAACAGCCATTGAACACATGTTTGGGTTGTGATTCTGTTTGGCTGTGAATGGCCCAGCCTGAATCTCCCTCTCCCTGGTAATCTACCTTGCTGATGATGTCTTGTGATTCAGCTCAGGTGATTTAATAAGCTTTTCATTGTCAGAATTTTACTTAATGCACATAAGCAGTTGTTTACTGCTGAAGAGTGGACCAACTGTGGACTCTGTATACTTGTTTGGTTTTGAGAAACTTAGGGAAGCTGATTCTGATGCTACAGGATTTTTTTTCTCTCATTCTTCTTGCCTCCTGATATTTTGCATGCATTAAAATATAAATGTATCTATTGAGTGCCTGTCTATGTCTTGTACTTGTGTAAAAACCATCAAATTTCACCTTTACCAGCGTCGTACACATTTGGATTTATCACTGGCTTCTTTCAGGCAAGGACCCTGAATTCAGAGAGGTTAGATCATTTGTCCTATACCATGTAGCACATGAGGGGTGAACTTGAAGTCTGGGATTTTTACTCTGAACTCACCATCTGTCTAATAAGCTATATAACTAATGGTAGCATGTGAAATACTTTTAGATGATGAATGAATAGATCTAATGGGTATTTATTTTGTGCATATTAGAAAATTGCTACTTTTTACATTTAAATTAGAGATATTAAAACTAATTTTAAAATTCTTTCAAGAAATATAATGAATGAAGGATATTAAATAAAATAATCATTTAGCGATTATGTGAGTTATATAGACATTCAATTATAAATTGTAATCTGCATTTGTATAGATATGTATACTATACATATATATGTGTGTAATATATATATTACATGTGTAGGTGTGAAATTAATGAAGACTAACCAAATGAGAGCAAGCAAAAGCTATTTGTGAGTGCTAGAGCAAAGGAGTCTGCCATCATCACTGATATTTTGGCAGAGACTCGAAGGCAGAAGGACAGTGGAAAGCTTTCTGGTAGAAAGGCGAGTCTTGAGGGGCCCTTGTTGTAGGCTGTGAGCTAGTGATAGTCAGTACAAAGTACAGCATTGTATATGATTGCTCAGGGGTAGATTTGGCACTCTGGCTATTTCTAAGTTCGAACTGTGGACAGATATTAGGGAAACTGCCAGCTATTAGTCAAGGTCTGACCAGTTTGGGCTTACTGGTGCACAGGTTATTGTGAGCTTGCTGGACTATTGCTAGGGATAGCAATCCTGCTTCCTGTAAGTCTGATTTATAGCAGGCTGCCTTCCTGCATTGTTTATTGGAGATAAGGGGCAAATTTCCTGGGCCAGTTGCTGTAGACTATAGGTCACGTTCTGCTTTTACATATGGTCTGGTCATTGTCCGCTGGTGTATTCAGTCTCTCTCTTCAACTCTTTATACACACACATACCCATAAACACACCTGCAGGTAGAGAGACCTTTAGATAGTTTATATACTAAGTGCACATCGGTTAATTAGCAGGAGGCTTACTATAAATATTCAAGGAATCTCTTCTCATTCTCCTCTCTGTGGACAGCAGTTGCAAAAGGAAGAATAGGGCAACTGCTCATAAAATTAGTTTCTAGTTTCCTAGACAGCACAAATAGACTTTAGACTTTTATTGCTTTTACCAGTGGCATGTATCCCTATCTGCATATTGTTATATCTCTAAGATTTCTCTTCCTAAGCCTCTAAACACTTTAAACTCTTATCAGTTCATTAAGAGACCAGAATGAGGTAGGTTTGCACTAGTCTGGACTTCATAAGTATACACCTTCCTCTTGGAAAAGGTTCTCCATGAAGTTTATTCATTTATTTGACATTTGTTGAGTGTTGATTAAATACCAAAGCTCAACTTAGGCACAGTCTCTCTTTACCACAACTTGGCATTTCTAATATGTGGCATAAGGGACCCCTGGGAAGTCTTGGCTTGTCTCAGAAGATGTGGATTGTGAACAAGGTCCTAGGAGAAAGGTCTTACAGGGCGCTGAGCATGATATTCTAGCTTTATTGTGGCCTACATGGGAGTAACACAAAATGGGACTAGGAAGACACTTTTGAGTTTAGCGCTGGCTTCATTTCTTCAACAAGCATGGAAATCACTCCTGCCTGCCAGGCCCCATCATGGAAGACACAAGTGAAACAGCCAGGGCTCATGGCCTTTAGGAGTGCAGAGAGAGGCAAATATTTAGCAATGCAACTCCCTGGTTGCCAACATTAAGTGACTTCCTCTCCCTCCATGTGCCTACCCATTCCTCTGCTGGCAGTGGCACTAATATTCTCTTAGTATTGGATCATATATAAGCAAATATCTCAGCACAGAAATAAGTTTCACATGCTATTGATAGGGTTTTTTTTTAAAACAAATGTAACAATTCACAAGCCAAAAAACTGATCAAAGATGAACTTTGAGTTATTAACTTTGAGTTTTACATTATATTCTATCATAAAAACCTCCTAAAATTTTTTTTCAATATTTGTATGATATAAAAGCACTTGTTAATTCATTGGTTTATCTACACAGTCTGGGCACTGTTCTAGGATTTGAGAACCTAAAAGTCTTACTTTTAGATGAAAGATTCTGACATTATGGAGTTGCCACTTGGCTGGAGGAGAAATGAGCTCTCATCTAAATATCTTCATCCCCTTTTAGGTGGTAGGAAATCTCATGAACCAGGGGCAGGAGGAAGCCAGGAGTGGAGAGGGATGTTCCTTATCGTAGGTGATCAGTGAAGGACTCACATTCACTGGCACTGGGGCAGAGTTCCAAAGGAAATGAGGAAGGGAGTCGTGTGGATCTGAGTGAAGGGCATTGCAGGCAAGAGGATGGAAAATCCCAAAGGGAGGGCCTTTTTGGTGTGACAAAATCAGCCAGGAATCCCTGTGGCTCCAAGGGGTGGTGGCAGGAAATAAGGTAAAATCAAAAGAGGGTAACTTGAGGGTGTGAGATGTGTTAGGAACAGCAGGGAAAAGGGTGAGGTTATTCTAATGCAGTAGCCATTATTTTCCCCCTTCTTCCTGAGGGATATGTTTCAAAACCCCTACTAGCGGCCTGACGTCACAGAGAATAGTGAATCCTATGTACAATGTACAGTATCAGCAGCCAGTCTGATAAAGGAGATGGCTACTATGTGACTAACAGGATGGTAGCATAGACAGCATGTGTGCCTTTGACAAAGGAATTATTTGTATCCAGGCAAGACAGAGTAGGGTGATGTGAAATTTCATCATGCTACTCAGAAAGGCATGCAACTGAAAACTTAAGAATTGTTTATCTCTGGAATTTTCCATTTCATAAGTTCAGACCCTAACTGTCCACAGGTAACTGAAATAGCAGAAAATGAAACTGCAGGCAAGGGGTGGGGGGAGTTACTGGACTTGTATTTGTAAATATTCTTGCCCTCCACATTTTGTCACAATCTCACATTTTCTTTCCTGTGTGCAGTTTATGTGCTATTATATACAAAACTTTAACTAGAGTACCTGTTATGTGATATCTTCGGAGGCACACAAGGTTGAGCACAGGTCATGGTCTTCACCTAGAAGAGATAGGAAGAGAATAGGAAAGACAGGCAAAGGAGAGACAGGGAAGTGTGGTCAGTGTCTGAGTCCAGATTTAAAGCATTACTCACCCCAGGATGTGCTGGCACACAAGCCTAGGGCGTACAGGAGGTGGCGTTTGATTCACATCTTGAAGAATCTTTTCTCACATGGTTATTTCTTCTGAGGCTAACTCTTTAGACATTTTCCTATATTGTTGATTCACAAAGCACATGATCTGAAGAGAACATCTAATTCAACCCTCACATTTCATAGCTAAAAGGCTGTGTAGATGACCACTAAGCCTACAGGTTGGGGTCTTATTTTATACTGTTATATGACCCTGCCCTGGGCAAATTACTTTCTGCACATCATGTTTATTATCTGTAAAGCAGATTTATTGATGGTATCGATTTTTAAGGAGAATTTTACAAATAAAAACCTGTAAAAATATGTATTATACTGACACAGGCATACTTATATTTATAGCAGTACAATTCATAATAGCTAAATAATGGAAGAAGCTATATCTCCATCAACAGATGAATAGATAAAGAAAATGTGATGTTTACACACAATGGAGTACTACTCTGCTGTAAAGAAAGATAAATGGCTCATTTATAGGAAAATAGATGTACCTTGAGACCATAATTCAAGTGAAATGGATCAGACATATAAACTTAAATATCATCTTGTTTCTCTTATATGAGAGACCCAAATTATAAATAAAAAGGAAAAGAAAAAGTGGATAATAGGAAATGGGAAATAGCTCTTTCTCAAAGGAGGTGGGGATGGAGAGATAGAAGGAGGGGGAGAGAGAAGAGGGAAAGGGGATGAAGAAAGGAATTAAGATGTGATATGCACATGTATCGGTTCCACACAAGAAATGTAAGTGTCATATTCTGTAAACATGTACTCATTTTTTAAAAATGTAAAAATACTTTTAGAAAAGTAAAAAAAAAATTTTTTTTCAACAAGTAGTGGCTGTTATTGTGATAAGAAAACTGAAGCCCAGATTAATATTTTGCCTTCCGTGTCATGCATACGTAATTACTGACCTTTTACTAGAACCCAGGCCTTTTACTTTTTTAATCTCCTGGACCCAGCATTTCATTCTGTCCTGAAGTAGTTTGTGATATTTTAACTTTTTATGTGAACAAAACAAAGACAGGTAAAATTTTTCTCACTTTACTGAACTTAGAAAATGAATATAGTTGATTCGTACCTTAGCCCAGGGCCCCTAAAATCCTTGGAAATCCCACAAAAGCCACATTCTTTCACTCAGTAGTCTTTTGGCTTAAACTACCCAGACACGAAATGGCTGCAGCTCAACCCTGTTGACAATGCTCTTAGGTGGTTTTGAGCCAGGATGACACGGAATCTTCCGGTATGAGGGCGTTTGGTGTGAACTTCCTATTTGAAACAAAGTATTTTTCATCTGTTAATAAAAAATTAGCCTCACAATTTAGGTTTGCTGATTTGTGTCCTATGGAAACATCTGTGTGCAATGATTTTTGCCCTTTACTGCCTCAGATTTTTGGTGGAATGGTCTGAATTTAGAGTCCACAGGAAAATTAAAATTGGTACTAATTTTTATTGACTCTGTTTAATTAAAAATGCTAATAAACAACACAGATATTTTAAGAACAGCTAGAAGACTAGAATTCTATTTAAGAAGTAGATACATTTTTCACCCAATCACAGAGAAGTTGGGGTGCAGAATTTAACAGCCAATGATAAACTATATTTGTCATTATCTGCATTTCAGATTATCTTCCCATTTTCTCCAACAGTCAATGTGGATAATTAAGAATTAATTTTGATTTGACTTGCATTTATTTTGTGTGTGCTTCGATATCTTTTTAGTCACCCTGTGGGAGGCCATGAAAAAAGTAAGGTCATTAGTACTTCTACCTTTGCAAAAACTCCAGATATAAACATACTCAGTCATTTGAGAACAATCTTATCCACAATTTATAAGTATAGTGGAAACTATGAAACTTGCCAGAGAAGATAGTTTTGGAATAAGGGAGCTTAGGGTTTGTCAACTTCTGCTAGCATACAATGCTGAATTTTGACTTCCAAATGACTTGAACTTGGGCCTGCATTCCCAGACAGATGGAGAGCTTTCTATCTTTCAGATCAGTCCAGACTATCTTTAGACTGCTTTTTTGCTTAGAGATTTCTTCCTTGTACTGGGAAGAATCTTTTTAGATTATACACATTGCATGAGATAGTGATAGAAAAGAACATTGTTTTTACTGGAACAGTAACTCCTTAGTAAATGTTAATCACCACTAACATTATTATTATTGTCTGAGGAATACTAGAAGAGAGACAATGCTAGATAAATACATAAATATTTATACTGCTTATTCATGGTGAATTAAGCTGCTCAATTAAGTTAATGGGGACCTGACAAAGCTAAGGTCCACTCAATTTAAGGAAGTTAAGTATTGATGGCTGCCATGATGTTAACAGTTCTGAGCTGGACTCTGTCTTTGGGCGCACATATTTGAGTCTGAATCTAAGTGTATCATTCAGCATTCAACCAGGGAAGCAGGATTAGCAAGATATAGGTAGATAGGCAGAAAGATAGGTAGATAGATAGATAGATAGATGATTTATTGCAAGGAATTGATGTATGTAATTTTGGCAGAGAAGCAAATCTAAAAACCCCAGGGCAGGCCCATACGGAATAGTGGGGTAACACTTTCAGAGCCGAGCCGATGTTGCTGTCCACACCTAGAATGTATCCTTTCTCAGGGAAACCTCAAATTTGCTCTTTGGACCTTTGAACTGATTGAATCAGGCCCTCTCAGACTATCTAGTATCTGCTTCCTTTTAAAGTCAAGCGATCGTGGCTCTTAATCACATCTCTACAATACCTATAAAATTCTGGAAACCTACAAAACATTGGGATACCTAGATTAGAGTTTGGTTGAATTATTTGGGGGTTAGAACCGTATTAACACATTAAACTATCCTAACCTGCTCCACCCCAGGCTCTATCTGACCTCGAGTGATCTACTGAATCCCTCCTGGCCTATTTCTTCTCATCTGTGAAAAGGGAATTATAACAGATAGAGTTGAGTAAATTATGAGAAGATAGATATTTAGGGCTGCGGGTATAGGTCAAGGGTGGAGTATGTACTTAGCATATGTGAAGCCCTGGGGATCCCAGCACCAAAATAATAAAATTAAGTAAAATTAAATAAAAAATTTGAAAGGTGAATATTTAAATTGGCTTTTGATTGTACATAATATCATCCCTAGGATCCATATCTGTTTGGTTTGTTGGATCTCTGTTCTGTAGTATGAAAATGAAAACACTAATATCTATCCAACTATGTTGTTGTGAGGAGTGAGGGCTTGAATTTAAAGTTCTGGACTATTTATATAATAATTTATAATTATGCGATAATAGCCAACACTTAGCAGATATTTGTGCTAGTTCTGTTAGGAATGCATTACCTATTTTAGCTCATTTAAGAGCCATGGTGAATTTCACTCTTAGTAACATTAGTAATCATAAATATATATATGATGATATTAGGGGAGAAATTTTAGCTAAAACCGTCATGGACCAGGAATGACAAAGTCGTATTTTTAGGACACTTTCTTACCTTGTAAGGGATGGATGATGGAGAATAAAAGAATATTTGAAGTGGTTTTGGTTGCTGTGGAAGACCTTCTCAAAAAACAGAGAAGATCAAAGGGATGATCATTCTCTGTGGAGCTAATGTCATGGAAATAAAATTACTTGACTTATTCCATCCTATGAATATAATCCATAAAATTAATGACCCCCATGGCTCTTTGTATCCTGTATACATGAATAACAGAGTGGACTACTTGGGCTGACTCTCTTTCCTGATGAATTATTTTAGTCTTCTCTGAAAGTGTTTTCTGCCACTGGAAGCTAACGAAACGATCACTTAAGAAATGATTCAAACAGTTGAATCATTTATGTAAACAAGAAAGGAATGCAGAAATCAAGCAATTCATGAAGATTGTTTAATGATAAATTAACTACTGTGTGTAAAACCTTTGTTTCTTCTCTCTCTCTCTTTCTTTCTTTTTTTCCTTTTGCATTTGGTCCTAACCTTTCATGCTCAGGTTTATTCCTTTTATGTAACTTCTTCCATTGTGCACAAATTGTTTCAATACATAAACATTAGATTCTGGAAGTGTATAAGATGGGGCATAGTAGCCTAGTTTCTGCAAAATGTCATTGGAATCAATAGTGCAAGTGGTCTATACACATTCTTTTAAGAATAATAGATGTATATTTGTTATGTATTGCTGACACATTTCCAAAAAAACATTCTGGAAGTACTAGTTCCATGGGAGGTCAATAGATTCTACACAAAAAAATATCATCCATGACCAAGAAAGCTTGAGAAAGTCTTGCTCCCATAAACCAAACTAGATCATTTGATATAATACTTCATACAGCTCTTATACAAAATTTTTGGTCATGGGCCTCTAAGACAAAGAGGAAGTACACATGATTCCCAAATTATTGACCATGCCCCTTTCGGGCTACAAAAATGTGATATCTTTCCTCATCTATCACAAGTCTTGTGGTTGACATTTTTCTAACAAAAGGCAGATTATTAAGATAAAATCGTAGCATTTGTTTTTATTTACTGGGAATTGAACCCAGGATCTTGCACTTGCAAGGCAGGCAGTGGAACCACTGAGCTAAATCCCCAGCTTATAGCATATTTATTTACTCCTAAGTTGTCTATGAGAGCTTTCAGAAATAAAAGTGCCAAATCTGGAGAACATTGTCTGCTTTTATGATTAGATTTAGTGATGAATTGATAGCCCTGTAGAAATGTAGCTGAACAACAACAACAAAAAGTTTACTGTAAAGGTAATATTGCTAGAAGGGAAAGCCAGCAAGACTGTCTGTTCATATTCTCCTTGGCCTAAGTAGCATTCCTTCTTCCTTGGTATGGGGGTAACACCCATCAGGAACAAGGTTCCAATG